TATGCCTCCATTGTTCCCTCCAGTCATCACGAAGACAACTTCTGATGCTGGGTTTCAAGTCAGTGTGTGGGAGAGGAAAACGAGCATCACAAGGCTGAGCGGCAGCTGCCTTGGCCTTCTGATCAGCTCGCTCATTCCCACTGATACCAACATGTGCTGGCACCCAACACAGAGTTATCTTTTTACGTGCTGACATCAGTGCAAGCCAATCTTGAACTTCCCTCACCACTGGATGTGATGAGTTTAAGCTCTTGATTGCTTGCAAGGCACTACGAGAGTCACAATATATTACAACAGAATGGTTTGTAAGATCTCTAGTCATCTTGACTGCTGCAAGGATGGCATGTAACTCTGCAGTGAAAATCGAGGCTGATCGAGAAAGACTGCCAGATGCAGTCTTCCTTCTGCTCACTGCTGCAAAGCCCACACCATTTTCAGATTTCGAACCATCTGTATATATTGCATATGATCCCTGGTACTTAGAAGTGTGTTGAAGAAATATCTCTCTGACTTCTGCTTCGGATCTCTCCCCTTTCCCAATACCGACCAAATCAAGCTCGACTTGATTAGTCCAAGGGGGGACTTGGGAAGTTCCAACAGCCAGAACCTTTGTGAGATTTAAATTAAGATCTTCCACAAGATTCCTCATTCTCCTACCATAGGATCGGCTATCCTCAAGGGGGTTGAAAACCAGTCTGGATGTAGGAGATCCCGGAATCCTTTGTAGTCTCGTGTAATAAATCAGGTTCATGTAGTCCCGGTGTAATGAAAGAGGTGGTTCTCCACTCTCAGCATACAGGGACTCCACAGGTGAAGACCTGAAAGCCCCTATACAGATTCTCAGAGCTTCATTATGAACCGAGTCCAACATCCGAAGAACAGTGGGAGTTGCAGATGAATATGCCTCACATCCATAGTCGAGTTTACTACGAATAAGTGCTCGGTAAAGTCGCAGAAGCGTTGTGCGGTCTGCACCCCAAGATAGGTGTGAAAGAACCCGCAAAATACTAAGCGCTTTTGTAGCTTTCACCTTTAACTGTTTAATATGAGGCACCCATGTAAGCTTTGAGTCAAAGATTAGACCCAAGTACTTTATCTGTTGGGCAAAATGTAGTGGGTTTGCTCCTAAATAGAGGGAAGGGTGAAACTTTCCTCGTTTGTGGAAATGCATAGCCATGGTCTTGCTTGGAGAAAATTTGAAGCCATGGTATGTTGCCCATTGCACAACCTGATTTATTGCTATCTGCATGTGTCCTTGCACATCCTGTAAGCTTCCTCCTGAGCAGTATAGTGTAAAGTCATCCACATACAGACTACATGAGACAGCACTTGGAACGACCTTTACGATGTCATTTATAGCAATGGCAAACAGGGTCACACTTAAGACACTTCCCTGTGGGACCCCTTCCAGCTGATCTTCCAGGTTAGAGAAGCTGTTTCCTACCCTCACTCTAAACTTCCTGTTAGCAAGGAAGCTTTGTATGAAGGTTGGCAGTGCTCCTCTTAAACCAATGTCATACAGCTTCATGAGTATGCCATGCTTCCAAGTCGTATCATAAGCCTTTTCAAGATCAAAGAAGACTGCTAACATATGGCGTCGCTGTGTGAAGGAATTCTGTATAGCAGTTTCCATCCTCACAAGTGCATCTGTGGTCGATCTCAGTTTTCTAAACCCATATTGATATGGGGTCAACACGTTTTCTTTTTCTAGCAGCCATGTCAACCTGAAGTTTACCATTTTCTCCATCAACTTGCAGATACAGCTGGTGAGAGAAATTGGTCTATAATTCCCTGGTATGGAAGCATCCTTGCCAGGTTTCGGGACAGGAATGATTATAGCTTCTTTCCATGTGGATGGCACTGTTCCCTCCCTGTAGATCCTATTGAATAGATCCAACAGGAACGTTTGGGAGCTCTTTGGTAAGTGAGATATCATTTGGTATGGAATACCGTCACTTCCTGGGGCAGTCTTACGGCAGAGCTGCAAAGCAGAGTCCATCTCCTTGCGCAAAAATGGCAAGTTGTATGGAAGTTCTGCTGCAGTGCTACTGAAGAACGACACTGGGTGTCGTTCCTGTTCAGCCCGAAGAGTGGAGAAACGGGCAGTGTAAGATGCTCCAGACGAGATCTCTGCCATGGATTTTGCCAGTTCATTTGCAACATCTGTTTTGTCTGTGAGGATTATGCCATCTATTTTCAGAGCAGGGGGTGATATGGATGTGCTCTTTCCAGCGATCTTACGCACCTTGTCCCATACCCATGCTAAGGGGGTCCCAGAGTTAATCAAGGAGACATACTGCCTCCATGATGTCCGTCTAGCCTCCTTTAGCACTCGCCTGGCCTTGGCTCGGGTCTTTTTGTACTGGATCAAGGTTACATCGCTTGGGCGTCGTTTCAACTGCCTTAATGCAGCTTTTCTTGCTCTGACAGCTTGTTGGCATTCATCAGACCACCATGGTACCGGAGGTCGACGGTACTGCCCACTACTTCTGGGAACTGATGCTTCTGCTGCAAGGTGAATCCGCGATGTGAAGTGATTAACAGCATCTTGAACACACTGGAAATCATTCACAGATCCTTGCAATACTGCAGTTGATCTAAAAAGATTCCAGTCTGCATGTTCAAGTCGCCATCTCCGCACTCCAATGGCTGGAATGCCATTCACCTCTTCCAAAAGTATTGGAAAGTGGTCACTTCCGTGTAAGTCTTCCATGACCTGCCAAGTGAAATTCAACTGGGAATCAGGTGAGCCAACTGACAAGTCAATATTGGAGAATGTCCCAGTTTGAATATGGAAATGTGTGGGTGCATCACTGTTCAGTAAAACTGCATCTACTCTTGAGAATAAAGACTCCAAGGCCCTTCCTCGAGGATTGCACAAAGTGTCTCCCCAGAGGTGATGGCGACCATTGAAGTCTCCCAAGAGTAGAAATGGATGAGGCAACTGTCCAAGTAAATCTTCCAAATCATCTATGTTGAGATTATGTGGAGGGAGGTAGATGGATGCAACAGTGTAAGGTCGTGTCAAGCCTATTCTCATGGCCTTCACCTGCAGTGTCGTCTGAAGGTGGATGGCCTGGAAAGGAATATCCTGACGTACCATCACTGCTACTCCTCCATGAGGTCCATTATCAAAGGTCCCATAATGGGCTTGAACTTGGAATCCTTTCAGGGAAATTAAACGATTTTCCCTGATCATAATCTCTTGTAGGCATACACAAACTGGATTACAAGAAGCTATCAGATGTTGCAGTTCTTCCCATTTTGCATGAATTCCCTGACAATTCCATTGGATTAGGGTATCCAGTTCTTCAGGTTGACAAGTTACTTCATTAGGTGTTTGGCAGCACCTGTGGTTAAGGTCCGCCCCACACCTTTAGGCTGTCCCTTTCCAGCATCTTGGGAAAACCTTTTGATGGTTTGTTTACCTGTGGAACTAGTTTCCACAGGCTTTCTTTGGACAGGCTCAGGATTTCTTTGCTTGGGCAAAGGACGGACCTGAGCCTTTGGTTCAGGAGCATTCTGTTTAGCAACAGAGGCCCCTGTGGATGTAGTGGCCTCTGGAGCCCTGCCTGGTGGCTCCAAAGACCCGACTCTATGGGGAGTCTTTTGAACAGGCTCAGGATTCCTCTGCCTGTGCAAAGGACGTGCCTGAGCCTTTGCTTCAGGGGCATTCTTCCTAGCAGTAGAGGCCCCTGTGGATGTGGTGGCAGCTGGAGCTGTCACCGTTGAGGTCTCTGGAGCCTTAACTGATGGCTCCAAAGACCTTACTTTGGGAGGAGGAGTCTCCTCAATAGACCCATCACTCCTACTTCGTTTCTGGTGGACCAACTCACCAGAATCAGTTTCAGCATTTGAGGACTAATGTTTAACGGTAGTGGCAGAGTGTGTGGTATTAGAAGTATTGGAGGGAAAGGGATGGCGGGAAGGAGGATAGGCTAGAACTGAAGCAAAGGACTTACCCGGCTGTGCAAATAGCACACGGGCACGTCGCTTTGCTTCTGCAAAACTAACTTTCTCCTTGTTCCTTATTACCAATACTTCTTTTTCAAATCTGTACCTTTTACATTGCTTAGAAGAAGCTTCATGATCTTCTTTGCAGTGATAACAGCATATTGGACCTGGACAGTTGTCATCTCCTTGATGACCTGTTGTACCACACCTCACACACACTCTTGGTTGTCCATTTTCCTTAAAACGGCAATTGTTGGCTCCATGCCCATAACCCTGGCAGTGGAAACACCGCATAGGGTTTGGTACATATGGCTTGAAGAAAGATGCATATGCTTGTATATAATATTTTATGTATATATATTTATATATTTATTTATATATATATGCTTACATATGGAAAATGGAGTAATCCAATGCCGCATTCATATCGATGAATAACAACCCTCCTGACCAGGACTGAAACCTTTGTCTATCCAGGAATGAACCAGAAGACCAAACTAAACTCACAAAACCACAAAACCCACTAAAAGGAGTGTAAAACTAGGATCTCACTAGCTCCATAGATATTACCATATCTACTCATACTATTGTACTGAAAGTGAAGTTTTACACACTCCACGTGGACACTCGGTGGAAATTGATTTAGCAATTCAAATCCTAAGTCAGATGTACTGAGGTGAGATGGAGTAGTGCAATCCCGCATTGATAACAAATGCAAGAGGTGCGGAATGTTGACCAAAGGTGTTCAAATCCTACAAGACAACGCCTGTGTTTACAACACTCACATTGCCCAGATGGATGTGTGGTCCTGTGGCTTTGACATCATTCCTCATCCTCCTTATTCTCCTGACCTTTCACCTCATTATGTCCATGAAGTCCTTTTTCAAGGAGAAACGTTTCCAAGATGATGAGACTGATTTCTGAAGTCACTCCATGACTTCAGAACTTGTACAAGTAACGCATCCACAGCTAAAACAATGGGAGAGGTGTGTCACTCTTGATGGGACCTCTGTAGATAAAGACTAATAACTGTATGACATTTGATTTCTGTATGTCTATGGGAATGGATCAAGGGAAACCTTTAATGAATGCCCCTCATATATGTAAATATAAATAATATAAAGACGTCAATTGGTGATGGCGGTCGGGCAGTTCCCACACCCCCAAGGCTTGGTATTCCCCACTCAAGGTCTGTCTCCCTCTCCCCGCCATTTTTTTTTTTTTTCTTCTTTTTTTCTTTTTTTACTGTATTATACTTATATTACACCTATATACTTATATTATGCTTATATTATACCTATATAGGTTATATCTTAAAACTGCCCACAGAATAGCTTATTTTTCTAAAGAAAAATTTGTCTCTTTCGCAAACCCACCAAGAAAAAGTTGAAATGATGCCCCTGTGTGTGTATATATATTTATATATGTATATACATACATACATACACATACATATACATAAACATATATATATAAAACACGCACACACACATATGCAAATGTGTGTATATATACATGTATGTATGTGTGTGACCGTGTGGGAGTTTATGGATAAATATTTATATTTACGTTAAACTATCTGCTCGTATCATATATATACATATATATCTATATATTTGAATCTATATGTGCTTGTAAATATAGATATCCATATTTGTATTTATTTATCTCTAGCATACTTCCTTTATAATGATTCTTAGGATTGCCAAATAAAGAGCTCACCTCAGACACCTCGATCGACTTCCCTCGCTGGAATTCCACCAGGGAACATTTTGCCGTTATTCCAGAAGAGAACCTGACTGTTAGTTTGACCATATTTGGAGAAAACCTTAATCTTTGTTGGGATGGAAAACAGACAGCGGTCAAGACGAACAAGGAAGACTGTCAAGCCTTGTCAGCTCACGAGGAGCACAAGATCACACTGGATTACGAGTCGCAGCAGATCAAGGTACAAACATGTATTTTTGGCCTCTGTGGGTCCAGTGTGAATATTCAAGGATCTTGGATTTAACTGAGTTGAATAAGAGGGAAATATCTAAATTCCCATCTCCAACAGAGAGCTGATGGCCGCATTCTCAGAACAGTAAATAGTACCAATGCAAATAAAGATGGCTTGATGAAGATGAAATCTGACGGAGGCAAGGCCTGGGTTGTGCAGATTCTGGGAGACTGGACTCATCTTCAGGGCAGCCAAAATGAGTGTGAGGACATTTTCCAGTTTAGTTCTAGGGCGTCCAGTCTCAGGAAAGTTAAATGTGTCAGTTCACCCAACACTCTGGAGTACTCTGATTCGTTAAAGTTCTTTGGTGAAAGAAGAATTAAATAGCGTTTACATCGATTTTGTAATTCTGAAACTTATACCGACGTTTATTTCCTTTTTTGTTTAGTAATCACATTTGCTGCCTTCAACACCACTTCCTATTTTCCCAAAAGAGACTTAGCGAATCGGAGTGACACAGAGTCCGGAGAGAGACAATTATCTTCATTCCCGAGATTAGACGAAGGATACTTAGAATAACACATGGAGTTTACATATGTTGTATAGTGCATATTTCTCTCCTGAAGATATTTCATGCTTATTTGATATTTCTACAGGTAAAAGCAACTGTGGTGGAAACAACGCAATCCTGTATGTTTTTCTGACTTTCTTCATTATTACAACCATTGCTTTATTCTGTTACCTTCTGCGTATAAGGGTAATGTATCCCGTTTGTATTTACAGTTTCAATCACCACTTATTTTCTTTAATTGCTCATAATTTATACAAAGATATGCCCATTATTAACATGAATATGAGTTTAAAAATCACCAAGCTCTATTGGAAGAAAAAAATATATATATCACGTTTACCTTTTTTCACATAATAGAGAAACTCGTCCAGAAGTCGAGCTTATCCTGCCTCTCAAGTGCTTGAACTGAATACAGGTAAATAAAACAGCCTTTTTACTTTTCTTTGAGTCTATGAGGCAACAGCTTATCACTATAAACGGAACATCTTTAAAATGCAAATGAGGATTTTTGCTTCACGTTCTTTTGTTTACTAAGTGGATATATAACTACGCAGGTACATCCTCAGAAAAGTAAATGACTATGTGCGAGAATTAGTCATTCTATTTATTGCTTGCTATCATTATTGTTATTGTTATTATAATTATTTTTATTATTATCATTATTATCATAATTATCATTAATGTTATTGTCGTTATTACTATCATTAATATTGCTATTATTATCACTGTTATCATTGCTATTATTACTTTATTATCTTTATTATTATTATTATTATTATTATCATTGTTATCATCATTATCATCATCATCGCCATCATTACTATTATCATGATTATTATCATTAATGTCAATGTTATTATTATCATCTTGATTTTTATTATTATCATTATCATTATATTATCCTTATTATTATTGTTATCACTATTATTTCTGTTATTATTATTATCATTATTATTATTATTATTAATATTATCATTATTACTATCATTGTCATTATAACTTTTATTGGTAGTATTATTACTAGTACTATATTATTATCGTTATTACTATTGTTATAATTATTGTTATTATTACTATTATCATCATCATCATCGTCATCATCCTCATTAGTATCAGTGTTTTTTATTATCATAATCATTATCATTATTATAATCATTATCATTATTATTATAATCATTATCATTATTATTATCATCATTATTGTTATCTTAACTGTCATTATTATCATAAATATTATCATTACTATTATCATTATAATTATCATTACTATTATCATTATAATTATCATTACTATTATCATTATAATTATCATTACTATTATCATTATAATTAGCATTATTATCATCATGATCATCACCGTTATTATCATTATTATTACTTCCATCCTATCTAATTCGTCCTACCTTTTTTCTAGCCAAGGAGACCATGACGGACGAAAATCCTGGTAGCATGGACTATGGAGAAGAAACAATTAATGATATCTATGATTATGATGGTCAGTGAGACTAGATGCTGTCTGACGATATACAAACAAAGGTATTAGATATTAGGAAGGAAGTCAGGTCTTCCAAACTAGCAGTATCCACTTGATGAATGGTGCCCTCATCCATAACAGACTGGGGTCGCCCTGTCGCAGGATCCGTTTCCATAGATCTCCGATCACACCAGACCGGCGATGCCAATGTTTAACAAAGTCATATGATGGGGCATCCTCTCCCTAAGTTGCCTTCATTTCATCTTTCAAGTATAGAAATATGCTATGAATTAAGGACTGGACATTAAAACATAACCCATAGAGATATGTATCATTATGCATGTGAAACAGGATAAGCGGAAGGGGATCAAGGGAAATCTTTTGTAAGCGCCCCCCTGTAGTTTATATACATATATATGTGTGTATGTGTGTGTATGTATATATATACATATTCATTTGCATTTATATATACACAATGGGTGCGCTCTTAAAAGATTTTCCTACATATATGCATGTGGATACATATACATATCTTCATATACATATATACGTATTTATATGTATATTTTGTGTATATATATATTTATATTTATATGTATATATGTATACATGTACGTATATATATGTATATATGTATATGTATTGTGTATACATACATATATATATAGATATATATGTATATATAAACACATATCGTATTATTTATTTCTACTTTTTAGTTGATTTTATTTTATGTACTTTCATATAGTGTTTTATTCATACTTATGTATAAAGTGCCGCTTCTGCATATGTAGGCACAAGTATTAAGTCAGATTAGAATAAAAGCGACTTTGTGATTCGGCGTACCCGAGGGTTCGAGTGATTTGCCAGATGTTTACTGTCCTGAAAATGGACTTATATCTCTAGGCCAGATGGTTTTAGAGTCCATGGTTTCAGGGGGTCTGTGAGGATCTGATAAAAATTAGCATTAATATTCGCTATAGTATTTTCATAAGAAGGAGTGATTTTTTTAGGATCTTTACTTTAAAGTCCCTTACTACTTTGTATATCCCATATATGCATGAGACAGTCAAATCGAAATAAATAAAGTGCAATATACACATTGCAGGCAAAGTTTTGTTTATATGAACTATATTTCGGGAAGGGGATCCATAGCTTTCATCACATTCTTAAAGGTAAAGATGTTAAGACCACTTCTCTAGGCTAAGAGGAATATACGTATTTATATTAATTAATATAATTGTAATAGTTTCGTTGAAGCCATGAATACACAGCAGTTCGTTGGGATTCATTTCTGAATCAACATTTTCATTGATTTTTATTGGAATGTTTCTTACCAGTCTTTGATTTAAAGAATTATTCTACATATTGAATTTAACCCATTCGCCCCAGATTTGTGTTCTGTCCCCAGTAGTTTTTTTGTGAATTTTGTTACATACAGATGGCTCCACATGTGCTCACCCGGCAAGGAGTCTATCAGTAGGCCCTAGCTACTGACCCTGATTTTCCCATTCATTAAATTGGCGAGAAAATTAATACCATTGCTATCGATACTGTTATTATTGTTATTAATATTATAATTATGGAATTGTCATTAGAATATTTTAAACAATGAAATGATACAAAAAAAAACTTTCCTAGAGTGAAGAAAAAGGGTAAACAGGTGAAATAGGTTGTTTCGATAAACTGGTTATTTGGTGATTAAAAACTTGTGGAGCCATCTATGTGTAAATACAATAAATAAACGTGTCCATCTATGTGTAAATACAATAAATAAACGTGTATCACAGTGGGCATGGCATCTATTCTTGCCACGTGGGGCGGATGGGTTAAGTTACCAGGAGGCTCGACAAACTAAACATAGATATCTGTTGATTGTAAGAACCATTTAGTCATTTTATATATGATACTTATTTTCTGTGAATCTCATGGATGCAATGAATTAATGTGAAATAAATTAGGTTCAGAAATCTTATTTCCTTACTCATTATATATCTATGATATGGTATATACATGCCTTTATATGGTGTAATATCACACAACTTGAACATACTCGTATTTACATACATAGAAATATATATTAGCCAATGATGTTCATATACATTCTCTCTCTCTCTCTCTCCCCTCTCTCTCTCTCTCTCTCTCTCTCTCTCTCTCTCTCTCTCTCTCTCTCTCTCTCTCTCTCTCTCTCTCTCTCTCTCTCTCATTTTGAGATATCAAATTTACAAAATTAACACTTTCATCATAGAAAAAGAATCTCTATTATAGATCGATAAAAAACAAATGTAACTTTTACGCTGTCCGGAAAACAAGCACACATATATAAATGTATTCATATATGAATATATGTAAGCATATTTATATATGTATATATATATATATATATATATATATATATATATATATATATACATGTGAATATATATATATATATATATATATATATATATATATATATATATATATATATGTATATATATATATATATATATATATATATATATATATGTATATATATATATATATATATATATATATATATACATGTGAATATATATATATATATATATATATATATATATATATATATATATATATATGTATATATATAATTACTGTTGATTTTCCGTCGGGAAATGTGGACGCAGAATGAAAAGTAATAAAGATGTTACCCTGATAACGGTTTTTACAAAAATCTCTTGAATCATTCCTAGACAAGAAATTATGCCCATCCATAAAAATCCATACTGCTCCCAAAGAATTAGTACTAAGTACATAAAAATACCATCTTTCAGATATGTAAGCTTCACTATTCGTAAACAAACAATCAATTTCAACATTGTTCTTGTTACTCTAATAACATTAACTCTTTCTTTAAGAAGAGAATGCCTTTGCCTTCAGAACTATGTTCAAATGTTGTATATATTTTTAACTGTCCTAGATGTAATGCTAGGTATATTGGATCATCTAAACGATCGTTCAAACACAGAATACTTGAACACATGGGTAAATCTATAAGAACTAGCCTACCTGTCAGCACACCTTCTTTCTCGGCTGTCCGCCAGCATTCACACAGTTCATCCTTTCACTCATAATGATATTAAAATTCTATCCACATCTAACAGATTCGGCCTTATTATCTCAGAATCCCTGTACATTCACAAGATGAAACCCGATCTCAATAACAGCACAGCCATTCAGTTTTTTACGGTGTAATGCAATCACCGTAAAAAAACAGTTCTCACTTGTTTAGGTATGTCTCGCCTTCGTATATATGTCCTGTTTTTTCCACAATGTTTCTGTCCTTTTCTTTTTGTTACATTGTGTTACCCATTTGTTAATGTTTATTTCAACAACTTTTTTGTCAGTTTCTCTTTTATCTAGTAATGTTTTTAGGCTCATTATTTCTGGTCTAATGATGGAGATATGACTCTTCGAAACGTTACGCAATAATAATTATGTTCAGCACAGGCTCTACTTTTCATTCTGCGTCTATCTATATATATATATATATATATATATATATATATATATATATATATATATGTATATATATATATATATATATATATGCGTGTGTGTGTGTGTGTGTGTGTGTGTGTGTGTGTGTGTGTGTGTGTGTGTGTGTGTGTGTGTGTGTGTGTGTGTGTGTGTGTGCATATACAAAAATATATATATTTATGTATAAACACACACATATATATGTATATATATGTATATATGTGTGTGTGTTTGTGTGCATATATATGTATGTATGTATATGTACAATATAGATATGTGTGTGTACAGAATATATATATATACATATGTATACATACATACATATACATATATGTATATATATATATCTATATATATATTCTGAGCACATATGTGTGTATGCATACACACACACACACATATATATACATATATATATATATATATATATATATATATATATATATATATATATATATATATATATATATATATATATATATATGTATATGTATATATACACATACACATACATACACACATACACATACACATCCTCCCAAGCTCTCATCCGCTCCAAACCAATCTTATCATAGTTTCTTCCGGGGTTCCATGAACACTATCGTCAGTACCTCTAGTGTGTGTGTGTGTGTGTGTGTATTTATGTATGTATATATATGTACATACATACACACAGACATATATGTATGTATATATATACATATATATATTTATATACATATATATGTATGCATATGTGTGTGTATATGCATATATATACATACACATATATGCATATATACATATATCTGTACATATGTATGTATATATATTTATACATATGTATATACACTTAAATGCACACACACACAAAAAAAACACACAAAGAGAAAGTTCGGGAGCTGTGCGGCCTTGCAAATCGGTCGTTCACGCTTCCATGCACCACGGTGGGTGAGCGCGTTCTCTAGGCTGGTTAGTATCCAGACTGTTTCACTGTTGCAATTTCTCCTGCATCTAATACTAGTTCCGTCTTCACCTGATGTTTTACTTTTCTTCTTAACTCCCTCCCCCCCTCTCTCTCTAATATTTGGTTATCTATATACCTCTTTCTATTTTTTTTCTCTTCTTCTCTCCCCTCCCTCTCTACCCCTCCCTCCCTATCTCCCGTTTTCGGTTTGACACGAAAGAGCTTATATTTCCTCAAATATTTCGCTGCTGTAACTTCACCATCGTGTTGAGTGATTAAAACTGTCAACAACACCATCCCTAACGGCGGGCAGCATAACTATGTTTTTTTTGTTTTGTTTTGTTTTGTTTTTGACCGTCAAAAAGTTCGCCCACTACTCGTTTTGGTTTTATATGAATAATCAGGAAATGGAAGTGTATGGCAGGATTTTTTTTATAGAGAAAACACAATAATTAGAACACACTTTCTCAGGTGACCCATAAGAATGTCTCTTCATTATTGAGAGGCCGGTTTGCATAGTACACAAAATCAATTAGTTGTAATCAAGGTCTACATATATAAAGAAGTTGATGCCGTGTTACAACATATGCGGTGGGGTGGGGTGGTGGGGGGCTTCGTGAGATAGAATTATGGGATAAAAGTCTTCATGGTACACCAAAACAATCAGCACTAATCTAGGTCTCCATATATGAAATTCTGGTTCCATTAGTCTTGCCGTTTTCTGTAATAATATCAGGTTACATAATAATATCTATAATGATGAAATTGAAGCATGATGTTAACCTACTGAACACAGGGCTATGTCTTGTCCACTGTAAGTTTATGTATATATATTTATATCTATGTATGTATTTATGTATGTATATGGCCCTCTTCCCCCATTCCCAGGATTTTCGAGAAAATTGCTATTGCTTATTCTACCGCTATTAATACCGATACTATTATTGCTAATATTTGCATTATAGATATTGTAATCTTATTAATTACTTACAATGAAATATAAAAATAAAAATCTCCGAAAATCATGAGAAAAGATAAACAGGTAAGACAGGTTGGGGTACTAGTGATTAATTCATTAAACTATATATATATATATATATATATATATATATATATATATATATATATATATATATACACATAAAATATATAAATAATGATAATAATAATATATATGTGTGTATATATACATACATGTATACATATATATAAATGTGTGTGTACATACATATACATGTATATATATAGATATATATGTATGCATATATATATGTATACACACATATTCATGTGTAACCTGTATATATGCATATATATAAGTATATATGTACGTATTTATATGTATACACACACACACATGCACGTATATATATACATAAATATATATATATATATAGATAAGTAGATATATGATATATAAGTGTATATATACATATATATATTCATATTAGAAATATATATATATAATGTATATAAACACACACATATATATAAACATAAACACACATACATATATATAAACACACACACGCACGTACACACAGACATATGTATGTGTGATTATATGTATATGTATATATATATGACATTGTCTATATATTTACATATACATACACACACACGCACACACGCACACACTTACATGTGTTTACGTGTGTATGTGTCTGTATGTGTGCGTGTATATGTGTGTAAGTGTATGTATATATATGTATATATGTATATATGTGCATATATATACATAAACGCGCGCGCACAGAAATACACACGTACACACGCAAACAGACACACAAACATGCACACACACAAGCCAAGACACACTCATATATGCATGTATATGTATACATATATATGCATATTTGTATATACGTATATATGCCTATTTGTATATATACATATATATAAACGTATACATATGCGTTTATGAAAGATGGAATAATGCAATATCGCATTGATATAGATATATAACAATCCTCCCTGACTTGGCCTCGAACCTAGGTCACTCCGGAGGGCCAGTACTAAACCAACCATGCCACACGACCCACTAAAAGGAGTGTGCAACTAGGATCTAACTATCTCCATAGACATTACCTATCTACTCATACATGAGTAATGATAGCGAGGTTTTACACACACTCCCCGTGGGCACTCGGTGGAAATTGATTTAGAAATTCGAAACCGAAGTCAGATAACCTGAGGTATATATCTTTCATATCTTTCATATATATATACCTCAGGATATCTGACTTCGGTTTCGAATTTCTAAATCAATTTCCACCGTGCCCACGGGGAGTGAGTAGATAGGTAATGTCTATGGAGCTAGTTATATCCTAGTTGCACACTCCTTTTAGTGGCATGGTTCGTTTAGTACTGGCCCTCCGGTCTCATACCCGGAGTGACCTAGGTTCGAGGCCAGGTCAGGAAGGATTGTTATATATGCGTTTATATATGTATGTATAAACATCTATTTGTATATGTATATAAATACATATAAATACACACAATTACACATATATACACACACTT